TCGATGGTAACCAGATAGTCCTAGTTCGGGATAATAGCGCGTTTTAGCGCGCTGTAAGCCGCGGCGATTTCATCGCATCGCCGGCATAATCTTCGACGTGGTTTTCATCGGGACCTTTACTTTTCTTCTGGAACTGTTCCCTCCTGATCATAGTGTTTCACCACTAAATTCGCAAGTGCCCGCTGCGGGCAACGGTAAGTGTATCCAGTTTGTAGCATGCTGTTTCGTTCTCCATGTCGAGTCACGTTTTTCTGCCCGTGATTCTTAACTCTCAAAAATATTTCGATGAATGTTGCTTGCACGTATTATCGCCAGACCGCGGATTTTATGCAATTACGAAAAAAAATGGATCGGTAAAATTGAAAACAGTGAAAAGATTAAAAGAAATTGAAAATGTTGGTCTACTACGTTCAGCTTATTAAAATTATCACAGAAACAAATGAAATTGTATTTGGCTTGCAATCGATACAGACAATTTTTATTTCGCATAAAATTTCGTTAAATCACTCTAACTCGTCGCACGCGTTTTATTTTCGTAAGAAACTGCGCTGATCATTTCAAATCGAAATCGTGTAAGAACTGAGGAAAATAGACGATCAATTACTAACGGTTTCAATCTTAAAGAATGCAATGATTAAGGGATAATTAATGTAATCGATGATAGTAGACGATTAAAATACTAGACGATCAAGACACTATACGGTTAAAATAGTAGACGATTAAGACGAACAATTAAACGGAGAAGCAAACGAGTCGTGATACGCGGACAAAGAGACCGATGAGAGCATAGATAATTTTCCCGTGATCGATCGCTATCCGACTGTGGTCAGCAGTCGCACTGTTACCGAATGACCCTAATTAGTCAAGCTCAGCGAAAGAGCAGCAGCACCGTGAAATCGCCGGCATAGGATCCTCGAAATTGCCATTGACAAAGGAGTAATCCTAAAGCGCTACCGTCTCCGTGCATGCTAACGTACTGGATAGGCTTCCACGTTGGGCAAAACTATGGTAGTCTACTTAGGATTATGTGACAGGGTCGGAGCCGGAGGCATCGTGTGCGTTCGTGTCTAAATAACGCGGTTACCCAGCGCTAACGATGCCTGCGCCTCCGCCGAGAAAATGGCCAGCTCGCACGCAATTCGAATTAGCCTGATCGAGCTGCGAGCCTCGCCTGCGTCTAAAGCAGAGTCTATATCTGGCGAAGGAGCAGACGCGAGAGTGAGGGTAAACGAACGCGAACGAACACGCGTGATCCTACGAGAATGGACACGAACTAATATGCAGGTGAACGGGATCCATTGTCTGCAGAAACGTCGAAAGAAATACATAGTTTCGTAGGACAAGGCGGAGCCGAATGTCCGAGTAAATCATTTATAGATTGGATTGATTAATAATTCGTCGACATAATTACATTGTAGAATGATGCACTGTGCAGAGCTGGAGCTGATTATCGTCGACGAGTTTCTTGTATGTAGTGTGTCCCATAATTATGTTGGCACCCGGAAGGAGATGATTCTTGAGGTCATTTGGAGTAACTTTTTCCTCAGCGAAAATGCAATCCGCGGCTTCGTTTACGAGTTATTAACGACAAACATTGACCAATGAGAGGCAAGCTCGGCTGGCGCAAGGCGGCCGAGCCAACGAGCGGTCGAAGCCCAGTTCCGCTGATTGGCTCGGCCGCAAGCTCGCTTCTCATTGGTTATTGTTTTTCGTTAATAACTCGTCAACGAAGCCGCGGATTGCATTTTCGCTGAGGAAAAAGTTACTCCAAATGACCTTAAGAATCATCTCTTTCCGGGTGTTAACATAATCATGGGACACACTGTATATGTAGCGGACAAGATAAACGAAATACCCTGTATATACATATTTGGCTAACATATGTTTCAGAATGAACATAAATGCAAGAGAAAATTCGCGACCCGTAAATTCAAAATTATGAAACTTTGAGAATATGTAGGGGATATTATATCAAATTATATTTGCCCGCAAACGTTTATTCAATAATATGAAATTCTAGACAAATTCTTGGTTTCAATATTGTAAGAATGGAAAAAAAAGTTTAATGGAGAAATAAATTTTATGGAAGTACTTTATAATAATATTTTTAGTTACAGTACCGTAAATAAATAAAATGTAACTGTACCACACAATTTTCTTTACTGTCCAAGTTCGCTACAAATAAGTTACTTTTCGATTTCCCGGTGTAATATTTTCGGAATAATAGACGCCATTGAAAGAAACAAGATTTGTTTGAAAACTCTACTTCTGCTTTACGATTCGCGAGTTTAATGTATAGGGGTCTCCAATGGTCAATTTCACGCTCTTAAAGAGAATCTATGTACATATCCACAAAGTTGAACATTTTTTTTTTAAGTTACGGGTTGTGGATCTTCTCTTATAAGCTAACTTTGCGATAGTTTATCCGTGTGCAACCATTATGGTGCAATTTATCTGATTTATATGCAGGATGTATCGGCTAAAACGGATCAGTTACGTTTTATAGCTGCGACGGTTCTGGAATTTTGAATTCTCATTTAAACTAAGATCCGAGTTTTACAAATTTTACTAGGCCATTTGGAAGTCATATTAATGTATGGACGAGTACACGGCAATGTTAACTACGTGAACGGAAAACATTAAGTATATATGTAAAAAATCAGCAGATGATTTTAAAAAGGAAAACATTAACAAATCACAGTAATAAAAATATTGTTTTTCCATTTGATCTATTACTTGATGCCAATTTAAATTATCCAAGATTTTATTGGATAATAATTAATTAATTATATTGCTACATATGAAGAGCATTGACAGTGCCAATCCTCTGAATGAAAAAAGCATCGTTAGAACTGAACAGCCTATAAATGACATAAATAGACGAAATACCATTGAACAAAGAACGTTAAACAAGCACAACATTATATTCATTTTACATCTTAATTGAAAATACCGGTCTTGAAAAAAGTGCTGCAGTTTTAAATATATATGTATTGTATGTATTGTATCTAGTAACCAAGAACGTGTTAAAAGAGAAATTATGCAGCTTATTAATTTTAATACATTAAAAGATCTTTCATTGTCGCAAAGATTCAGAGTGATCTTCAATTTGGACAGTAGACTCTACAAAGTACCCATGCCACAAATTAGTCTATACCTGAAGATGCTGTGAAACAATAGTGAAGAAGTTATCAAATAAATAAATTATGCTCTTTATTTATTTTATTTCCCTTTCGAACGATGCCTGAAGACTCTTTTGTCTACGACCGTTACTTCATTCGTTCAGTTAAATTTATTTATTGTACAAACAGTTGAACACAGTCTTGACAGTTTCTCAAATTGAGCAACGACGCATTTATAAAGGTACCGGAAGAAAGTTACGTACGAAAAAATGCTAACGGTAAAGATAGAGGAAAGTACAGAAACGGAAGAAAATGTAACTTTTTGACAACAGCGAATACGTGTAAAAACTGTGTTCGCAATCTAGAAAAATTAGAAATAAAATCACACGTGTATACAGAGTGTCGCGAACATATTTTCCATCGCGATATCGCTTTCAACACTGCACAGTTGTTGTATTTGCCAGCTTTCGCACTTTTGGATTTCCGCACTTTTGATTTCATCGAAAAAGTCCTTCCAAAAAGGTAAATAACGATCATCTTGCGGATCTGCGTAATTACAAAATTGAATAAATCCCCGAAAAATGAAGGAAACGCTGAATTTGACGATTCCATTACAGTTTCTCCATTTTATTTCAAGGAAAAACTAAGATCTCGTTAAACAGCTATCAAATAGAGACTGTTCGCGCTTTCAGAGAATCGAAAACGCCACGAAGGCCCAAGATCCGCAGACCAACGAAAACATTCTTTCAGTCGCGTTCTCCGGCATCGTTCACGCTTCTCATCCCGAAGGACAAGCAAAATCAGGCGGTCGGACGTAGGACAACTTCGTTCCGCGTTCGTTCACGTTGATTCACGGTTGTTCGTACTCGCTCGCCAGATGAGAAGCCCGCTGGCAGCTCTGAATGGGCCGGTGTTCGTGTGAATGAGAAAGTTTCTGTGCTTCTGTTTAGGGGGGTATGGGGTGAAACGGCGGAAAAAGTTGCTGCGGGGGCGGGCGAAGAGTCAGAGAAAGAGAAAGAAAGAGAGAGAGAGAGAGAGAAAGAGAGAGAATGGGTTTGTCGGAGGGGGGGAGGCAGTGCATACACCCAGTGGACTATACATGAAAACCGTGCATCGGCCGTAAGAAACACGGACACAGTGGCGGATACAGAGACAACACGTATAAAAAGCGAGGGGACGAATACAGCGACGGTCAAATCAGCCGTCGTTCGCGTCACTTCCGTGGATCGATCTCGATCAGACTGCTGAGAGCGATTTGCGAAGCGATAGAGGAAGATCGTCGAGCTTCACGAGAACAAAATGCATATACAGGCTGTTCCGGAACTTCCGTTGCACCCGAGGAGGGGTGACTTTTTCGGGAAAGATGATTCTTGAAGTAACTTCTCCCTCGGCGAAAATGTTCTCCGCGGCTTCGTTAACGAGTTATCAACGAAAAGAGCGCGGACCAATTAGAGAGAGCGAGTGCGGCTGGCGCTCCACCCTCCCGACCAATGCCACGGTTAGCTTGCTGTCGCGCCAAAATTCGTCCGCTGTACTCGCTCTCCGGTTGGTCCCTGTTTTTCGTTAATAACTCGTCCACGGAGCCACGAGCAACGTTTTCACGTAGGAAAAAGCTACTTGAAATCACCTGAGGAATTTCCCGTTTCTAGGTTTAACGGGAGTTCCGAGACACCCTGTACATACACGTATAGAGCATACATGTGTATACATATTTTTGTATATTGCTAATAGCATGTTACTATCGTATGTAGAGAGAGATAATGAACGGAAGAGTAAAGGTAGCGAGATCGAACGGTAAGATTCCCCAAACAAATTCTCTGGACAGCCCATTGGTGTATGTAGTGCCGCCTAAGGAAGAACGTTAGTGATCGTAAATACCTTCGTAGTACAAAAGCAACACTCGAATTCGCTAGGTAATTCATCATTTTTCTCGAATTTTCTGCTGTCTTTTTTCTCTTCATCCTACAATGTCACACACACAATTTCCCATTTTACTTGGCGTCAACACACACGGCACGCCGCGGTCGGAAGCGGTCGGATCATTTCGCGGGTCATGTTCCTCTCGTGCGGCAAGTTCTCTGTTCGCGCGAACACAACGCGATTCCGCCGTCGATTAAAATCGCGCACGATTTTTCTGTTCGAGAAACGAATAGAGACGAACTTGTGTTCAACGATTTGGAACGGGAATAAAACAAAAAAAAAAAAAGAAACAACAAGAAAACATAGTTGAACGAAATCATTCGAACGCTTCTCGAGCGAGCGAACATGTAATTAATCCTTTGAAGCACGCATTCGAGAATATGCGATTCATCTCTTGTCTCCGACCGGAGAGAGCTGCATCTCGAATAAAAGTTTTCCGCAATGGCGATTCATCGTTCGCGCTCGATTAAAATTTCATGGGAAACGTTGCACCTTTCGCTCCGGTGCTTCAAAGGCTTAAACGAGGCAACGTATGATCACGTGGAGCCAGAGAGATAGCAAAGAGATGTAAACAGAGAAAGATAGTGATAGACAGATATAGATGTTCTACAGGTTCTCTCGTGTAGAAAGGGTGAGAAGGAAAACGTGTCGCGATTAGTGTTCATTTGTGTACGGTACGTGGATTGCTTCATAAAATCGTGGTATTCGTGGTACTCGAATTGGAACTTGCGAATGCCTATCTTTTGCGTATCGCAGCTGTTCATGCTTCGCCATTTGAATAGATTGAGATTTGTAAACCGCGAAGGGAACTCGAAAGATTCTTGAAACCGTTTCGTTTGGAATTTCGCGTGAACTGCTTGACTCGTTGGTCGAATTTTCGATACCACTACTTATGAACTGTCTAACGTGTATTTGACAGAACGTGAGCTGTGACAGAACGTGTTCGTTTGTTCAGAAACCGAGTGACTGTGAATCGCGTTGAAGCACGGTGCAAGAAGGAGAGATCGGACCAACTTCGTTCCTACTCCTGTGATCTTAAACGTTTACTTCCGATACAGTCCTCCAGGCGCTCTAGCGACATTTCACGTACCCCATCGGCGGTAGTTTAGTAATAGTATAGCGAAATAGTACCACGCTTATACAAATATAAAGTAAAAAAGGAATGTATCGGTGAGAGCACCGATGCGTCACTAACGCCTCTCGCGGGAACTCATGAAAGTGAACTTTTAGCGTCACAGAAACTTTGCGGTAGGATAACCGTGGTCGGCCCACCTCCCATTGTTACACCGTGCGTTGTAGTGAACATAATCTCGGGATGTGTGAAACCAGTGGAGAAAAGATGGATCAACGTGTTGGAGCTGTGAAACGGGGCTCGCACGAAGTTATGTTCAACAATGCACTTGAAAGAGTGTTTAGAAGTTTATCATTCGATTTACTGGAAATCGTGGTACACATATCAAACTATAACGCGCATTAATTGCGAATACACGATAATTTTCTTTGAAAAACAACAGAGAGAGAGAGAGAGAGAGAGAGAGAGAGAGAGAGAGAGAGAGAGTAGTACAAAAATTGTCTCGGCTCATTTTTCTATGTGAAATCACTGAGCTTTAAAAGGCACTCTTTGTGCTCATTGATATAAATTTGACTTTATTGAAATCAAAAACAATTAGCAAACATAGTTGATATATCTTAAATTTTAATTACTTACAACAATGTGATTTATTGAACAAATATTCGTACGAGCACCCTTCGCTCGACAGCCCGACACACTGTCCGATTATTGTGCCAAACTGTTCAGAGACCCTGTATAGCGTAATCGTGTGTGGTCGGACGTCACAATTGCTTTTCGTTGTTACTTACACGAACCAAAAGTACGAACGGAAGTTATCGGAATCTGCTGTCCTGTCTATGTCCTCGCAAGTAAACTCTTTCGGATCGGTGACGTTCCTATAGATCTCATCTAGTGAGAGAGCATTCGCGACACGCTAATTAGTTCGCAGCTGAAACGACTACTTGACTAAATTTCTTCGAAAATCAAACGTGAACGCATTTGTTTCGGTGTGTCTCTTCCGTTAGGTGGAACAGTGTTCTCAAAAATCTCGAAATTGTCTCTTTGAAGCGACTCTCTCTACGATGAAAAAGATTTCTTAGACGATGTCCGTCGATGTTTAACAAACAATGGCGGCCATATACTTAAGACCACTTGAAAAACGCACGTAACTTTTTTCAAACTGGAATAAATGACCTGAATTTTTTTAGACGATAGTGGGGGACTAGTGCTTCAAAATGCTTCTTGTTAATTTTGCTATTACTTGGAATAACAAAAAAAATAAAACATAAAAGAAGCCTTATTTTTTAACTTTTATATCTGAATCTATGACGAAAATTTTAAAAATGCTTTTATCATCAAGCTAGAAAGTGTTCTTAATTGTCATTTTGATGAAAGATGCAATATAAAAATTGTTCCTCTTTTAACATGGAAATAAAAAGAGCTCTCGATTGTTATTTTGATAAAATGTAAGATAAATTGACATATTTTCGACAATCTTATAGTGAAAATATAAGATGCAACATAAAAGAATGTTCCGTTTTGATATCGAACCAAAGAGCGAGTTCTCAATTTTTCTCGAAAGTGAAAAATATTAATAATTAACGCTTCATTTTCTAAGATAAAATAAACACGATAAATTAAAACAATCGCACATACGGCACACAATTCCGAGGTTTCATCGAACAGAGAGCGATCGGTCGAATCATAAATCTCTGTGTAGGATTCGAAATGGACTTTTTATTCGATTACAAGAAGAACGTTTCGTTTCTAGTGTAAAGAATGGACGTCAAATCGTGTCGTATTACAATCTCAAATACGATCGAAAAGGATAAAAATTCCAACTGCCCGACGGTCCGGCGATGATCTACGCGCGATCCTTGTAGCCGGCGAATTGGACGTGTGGTAGATACAGTATAATGAGTATGTACAGGCAGTGTTTCGAAGAACCAACGTCAACTGTTTGTCGTGACCGTAACAGTTGATCTATCGCGAGATAGAGTAGTTACAATGAGAATCGCTGAGAAGAACGTTACACGATATCCTTGCCATTTTTTCGAGAGACTCTGTGAACTCTGTGTGGTTACAATTGTCCGTTCGAGTATTAAATTGAGCAGCGAAATACGATATTTTGCGCGCGAGTATGCGAGTGTTCACGGCTGTTCAGTTTAGCGTAAACAAACGTTCGTCGACGCGTCCCGGTATATATGTATATGTACACTTAATAATTAGTAGACACGGTTAGCATGTCGCGGAAAGATTTCACGTACGTCTCTCCTCTAGAACAATGTAATAATATCTTGAACAATTAAACACGGCGCGCTCGAGCTCGTTGGTGCGGCATTGAAGCGGACGATGTTAGGCATGCTTGAAACTATAGTTCTTGTCGCGTGATTACGGAAAGGAGTGCGTGAATTTATCATTGACACGAGCGCGATACAGTATCTTTCTCCAACTATAGGGCAAATGTAGGTATTACTGCGGTTTCTCAATGAAGGCGAACTTTGACAAAGAAAATAAAAGATCTTTTACGCCAGTAAATTGACAACTTGAGCTGTATTCTTTAACTAGAATATTTACTTTTCTCAAAATATTGGACCTCCGAAAGCACAAATTTTTTATCACGATTTTTTAAGCACGATTTTTTTATCAAAGTAATGATTACTTTATCTAAAAGTAACGCTGAAATGAATAATTAATTACTAAAATATAAAATTCGAATCAGCGTTCGCAGCTGCCATTAGGAGTATTCCATGAGACCCAACGTTTTCATAAGCTTCCGAATATCTAAAGTCAATCAATATTAAACGTGTAAAAAATTATGAGATTCATTTTTTAGAAGATTACATACTGTAAAATGTTAGATTTTATTACTTTTATAAAATACCGCGATATTTGAGGCGTCCATAGTAATACCCACACTTGCCCTAATCCTCACACGACAAGAAGGCATCTTCGCGTTTACATTCCCCTTCTTACTAGCCACCCCACTGCCGCAGCTGTCGATCGCTATTGGCCGAAAACGGTGTCGAAGATCGACGGCAATGGGACAGCTGGTAAGAGGGGGTATAGCAAACGCATCGGTGCCTCCTTGTCGCGTGAGGACTATACGCACAACTGCGTTACACGCTTGTTACCGAGTTTCTGTTAACAGCTTTATAAGCAGAATTCAATGTTCAGTGTTTATCGGCTTTACAGAACAGGCGATATTCGTCGACGTTAGGCAACCCTGTGTCTGTTTCATGTCACGTGCGCGAAAATATGCACCTAGGCATACGTACATAGGTGCTATTTACATAATCATTCTACTATTGAACTCTGTTGTTTTAGAACGTACTTCCAATCTACTAAGATTACTTCAGGCTAGAACTGCCAAACCAGTCGAAATGACAGGTCTCTGATTTTTTCTTTTACAGTTACCGATGTTACAGAAATATATCCAGGAGACACGTTTCAGATGAACTTGCTCACGGTAACGTATAATAAAATAAACATCGTACGAAGTTTGAATAAATCTGATCTTGTTATTAATATTAAAAAATAATAGTTAGGGCTTGGTAGTTCTAGCGGACGTTTCAAACGAATATGGTACTAACAGCTTTCTAAAACATTTACTTTTTTCGAAAGAAAATACTCATAACCAGACTGCGGATTTGATGCATTTATGGCACAAATGAGTAGACGAAATATAAAATTCTGAAAACACATAAGAAGAATCTAACGATATTGTCACGCTGTCCTCGAGTTAACAGAATTATTAGACGAAACAATTTATCATTATTTCATTTCTGTTTGTTGCATAAAGATCCGCAGTCTATTTGTAACCATGCTACGGATCATTATGCAAATTCTCATTTTCGTGAATTCTTTGATCAAAAACTGGAGAGAAAGAAAATTTCTCACACCAACCAGGACACTCGTTGCGGTGAACGTGTAATAATAGGGCAATTAATTCGTGTTAAGAAGCATGTTTACTTGAATTTGCCATAAATAC